TCTAACATCACAGAATCCACACGGGGGAGAAGCCATATCAGTGCAACACATGCGGCAAGGCCTTTAGGCGGAATTCGCATCTCCTGAGACATCGGAGGGTCCACGGTGATAAGGATGTTCAGGATCCGGAACGTGGAGGGACTTGGGAGAATCAGGGGAGGGTGGAGAGGTCCGAGGGGAGTGTTGAGGCCCTCGTGTCTTACACATGTGATGAGTGTGAGAGGAGTTTCACTAGGAGCAGGAGCCTTATCGAACATCAGAAAATCCACACAGGCGAGAAACCCTATCAGTGTGACGCGTGTGGAAAAGGCTTCGCCCGAACTTCATACCTTGTTCAGCATCAGAGAAGCCACGTTGGGAAAAAAATTCTGTCCCGGTGACACAGGTCTTACATGCCAGCGTTGGTGCTCATTCCTCACTGAGCCCATGCCCCCCGGGAGGCCTTCCTGAGTAGTGCACCATGGACGTCCTAACCACCACACATCACCAAGCATGTGATAAAGCACCCAAATGTTTGTCATCATAAATAGTCATTTTCTGCTGCCATCTGCTGGGCAATTTGGTAATAACATCATAGTGCAGGTCATGAAAAGTTATTTCTGCTGCCAGCTCTTTTTTTGTTTTTTTAAATAACATGCGTGTGTATTATATCATAAAAATTTATTTTCCGCTGCCATCTGGTGAGCATTTGGGGAATAACACCCAAGTTTATGCCATCATGACAATTTATTTCCTGACCTCAGCTAACGTGCATCTTGCAAGTAACACCAGTGTAATAATATTTATCCTTTGCTGCCATCTGGTGGGTATTTTGGGAATAACACCAGAGTGCATGTCATTAAAAGTTTTTTTCTGTAGCTCTCTCCTGTGCATTCTTAAATCAGCACTCAAGGATGTGTTGTTATGAAGGTTTTCTCTGCTGCCATTTCATGTGCATCTTGGGGAAAACACAAGAGTGCAGCTCACGAGGTTACATGCCATTTCATGGGCATTTCAAAAATAACACCCGAGTCTGTCATGATAAAAATTTATTTTCTGCTGCCATCCTGTGGGTATTTGGAGAACAACACTCAAGTGTAGGTCATGAAAACTTTTCTGCCCTCATCTTGTGTGCTTTGTTATGGGAGCAGAGTATATGTAATAAATGATTCTGCTGCCATCTGGTGGGCATTTTGGGAATAACCACAGTCGGTGTCAAAATGTTCTCTGTGGCTATCCTGTGTGCATTTTGAAAATAACGCTCGAGAGCATTTTCTTATAGTCTAGCCTGCTGCCATTTCAGTGCATCTTGGGAAAGCAAAGGAGTGCATGTTATGAGAAGTTATTTTCTGCTCATGGCATTTTGAAAATAATATGTCAGTTATTTATCAGGACATGTCATAAAAATTTATATTATGCTGCCATGTGGTGGCCATTTTGCAAAGATCACAGCACATGTCATAAAGAATAACTTCACCTGCTAGCTCGTGCTCATTTTGAAAATAAGGGTTGTGAAAAGTTACTGTCTGTAGCCATTTCATGCGTATCTTGGGGAAATCAGGAAAGTTCATGTCATGAAAAATTATCTGCTGCTGCCAGCCATCTCATGCCATTTTAAAAATTACAAACTAGTGTATGTCATCATAAAAATTAATTGTTTACTGCCATCCCGTGGGCATTTTTGGAATAACACCCCAGTGTATGCCATCATGATAATATATTTTCTGCTCTAATCTACTGTACATTTTGGAATAACTTCAGAGTGGAAGGAATAAAAAAACTACTCTCTGCTGCCATCTGGTGAGCACTTCAGGAATGACACGCAAGTGCAAGTCATCACGAACAGTCTCTGCTGCGATCTGGCCTGCATTTTGGGAGTAACACCACAGTGCGTGTCATGAAAACTTATTTCTGCTGCTGTCTCGTGTGTATATAAAAATATTACTGAAAGGCATGTTATGAATTTATCTTCATTTTGTGTGAATATTGGGAATAACGCAGGACTACATTTCATGAATAATTATTCTCTGCTGCCATCTCATGGGCATTTTGAAAATACTGATGTATGTCAGAAAAATTTATTTTCTGCCGTCATCTGGCTGGACTTTTAGAAAAAACATCTGAGTACTGTGCATCATGAAAATTCATTTTCTGCCACAATGTAGTGTGCATCTTGGGAATAACATTAGAGTACAATTAAGAAAAAGGAATTTTCTGCTGCCAAATGCTGGAAACTTTGGGAATAGCATCCAAATGTATATTCTCAAAAAAAGTTATTCTGTGCTGTCATCCTGGGCATCACTTGAGTAACACATGTATGTACGTATGTTATAAAGTTATTATTTATTGCCATCCAGTGTGTATCCTGGAAATAACTAATGAGGTATGTCATCATGAAAAGTTATTTTTTCGCTGGCCCGTCCCGGGATGCGAGAGCGCCCACCCAAGGCACGCCTGGGAATCCGCCAAGACACCCGGTTCCTTAACGCGGCTGGTGCCCCCGTGGCAGAGACCATGGGAGGCTACGCACGGGCCGGCGTCCTGCCGAGCGGCCAAGACTGGGCAGGCAGGCG